GTCTTTCTAGTCTTTGCTAATGTATTTAAAATTTTATCCATGGGCGGCTTGCCTTGTGATAACTTTTGTCCGGAAGTTCTCCCTTCAAGTTCTTTTAGCGGAAGGTATGACACTGACAGTATTTAGAACAGAGGAGTAAGTTGGCCTCTACCAAGTTCCTGCTGAGTGTCTGGGACACTGACGCTGAGCTCATCTCCCATGGATTTTCTGGGAACCCACTGAGCCTAGCCATGGAAATCTCTTGTTCTTCTTTCTCCAGCAAGGATTGAAAATAGTCCACCATGCAGAGAAGACACTGTCCAGCTTCTGCAAGTGGCAGAAGAGCATCAACCCCAAGAGTGACCTCAACCCCGTCCATCATGATGTGGCTGTCCTTCTCACCAGGTACTGCAGACTGCCTGGAACCAGTGGTGTGGGATGAAGGGGGTAGTGGTGGGTTTGACAGGTTAAAGTGTTTCCAGGTGTCTTAGCTACCTAATGTTGCTGTAACACAAATTCTACAAGTGGATAGCTTTAAAGAACAGAAATTTACTTTCTCACAGGACATTAGAAGTCTGAAATCAGGTTACCAGCTCCAGAAGAAAGCTCTGTCTGTGTTGGGTCTGATGAGGATCCCTGGCTCTTTTAGCTTCTTTTACTCCATTATTTCTCAGTTCCACATGGCATCTATCTTCCCCCTTTGTTCTTGCCTTTACATCTAATCTGTCTTTTTTATGACTCAGAAGTGATTACCTTTAGGACACACCCTACAGTGATTGGTCTAATTAACATAATAAAGAAAACCCTATTCCCAAATGGGATTATTTCCATAGATATAGAGGTTAGGATTCCAACACATTTTTTTTTTTTTTTGGTGGAGGAGATACAACTCAACCCATAACACTTGATATAAAATTCATGAGATTCTCACTACTCTTTCCTGCACTTAGTCATTTTTAAAGGCAGCTTCTATGGTCTAGTCAACTCCTAACTTTCAAACCAGTGGAGGGGCAGGTTAACAGATTTACTAATACAAAACTATGAATGGTGAACATCTGTTTCGAGTTCCTAAGATTTTCTTTACTTGGGCAATCTACTTCCATAGAGATATCACCTCAGAAACCGGAGAAGGGTTTACTATGAGTTGATTCAACTCGAGGGCAGTGAGTTTGGTTTTGGTTTTGGTTTTTATGTTAAGAGGAAAGGAACCCTGGTGACAAAGTGGTTAAAATGCTTGGCTTCTAACAAAAAGGTTGGTGGTTTGAACCTGCTAGCCACTCCATGGGAGAAAGATATGATAGTCAACTCCCATAAAGACTACAACATTGGAAACTCTATGGGGCAGTTCTATTCGGTCCTACAGGGTTGCTGTGAGTCTGAATCAACTCAAAAGCTGTGAGGCTCGTGCTAAGAGGAATGTGTGTTCTAGGAGTAGACACTTTCCTGTAAAGCATGGTGGGAACAAGGTAAAGAAAAGAATACCAGGTGTCAGAAAAACAAATCAGTTTGAGAAACTTGCGTGGCTCTTCTGCATGTGGCCACTGGCAGTGGGACAACCCTACCTGTTTCCACCTGAAGCAGCACTGATGGGCACTGGAGTTTCTTTGTGTATGTGTGTGTGTGGGTGGGTGGGGAACCAGCCTGACGAGAAGCCCAACAGAGGGAAGAGAGCCTTCTGTCAGCATCCACGAGAAGAGGAGGCAGGGGGAACGAACATGAACTACAGACTCCTGTGGCCATGCTGTTTCTCAGAGGAATTACCTATGTCATTCTTGTCTCTCATATATATCATGTAACACCTTTGAATTTAAAAATTAAGATCTTCTTTTCTGTTTTTGTAGATCCCTCTAAACATTAAAAGGAAACTTTGGTGGTATAGTGATTAAAACATTTGGCTGTTGTTAACCAAAATGTTGGTGGTTCAAACCCACCAGCTGCTCTGTAGGAGAAAGATGAGGCAGTCTGCTTTTATAAAGATTTGTTGTTGTTGTTGTTAGGTGCTGTCAAGTCAGCTCCAACTCATAGTGACCATGTGTACAAAAGAATAAAACAGATGCCCAATCCCGTGCCATCCTCACAATCCTTGCTATCTTTGAGGCCATCATTGCAGCCAGTATCAATCCATCTCGTTGAGGGTCTTCCCCTTCTTTTGTGCCCTCTACTTTGCCAAGCATGATATCCTTCTGCACAGTATGGTCCCTTCTGATAATATGACCAAAAATTTACAGTCTTGTAAATCCTATGGGGTAATTCTATTCTGTCCTAAAGGTTGCTGTAAGAAGGAATCAACTCATTGGCAGTGCATTTGGTTTGGTTTTAAACATTACTAGTTGGTTTTCCATTTTCTTGTGAATCTCTGCAATACCTGTAGGGGAAATGGAAAATTAGAAACCATTCCAATGAGCAATAACTCCTGCCCCTTTGCTTCCTATCACCTACCCTCCCACAGTCCTATGCAATGGTTAGCCATTGTCCTTTACTCCATAACAGTGACTCCCAGACTTGTAGTGTATCATAGTAACCTAGAGAGTGTCCCGGGTGTGTCTGACACAAACCAAGCCTGGAATATCCCTTTCTTGATCTTCCTCAGAGTCTCGGTCTCCACTCCAGCCTCGTTCCTCCTCCTGCTATGTTGACCCTACACTCCTTATCTCTTTCACACCAGCCAGTATGCTCTTTGCAATATAGACTTCATTTTTAAGAAAGCACATCAGTATCACTTTTCATCAGATGTGTCTGGTTTGTGGTGGGAGACATGAGCTTGCAATCGCTTGCAGCTTCCACAAAAGCAAATATAAAAGGGGGAAAACTCATAATGGCAATTGCCTGAGTAAATGATGAAGCAGATCAGCAAGATGTCTGTGAGCATGAGTTTGCAGGACACTAAATGTCCTCAGGTCACAAAGACACTGGGCATCTGATGAACTCTCAAAGCCTTCTTTGTGACATCAGCTGCAGCCATGTAAAGTGGGAGTGACGTTTGAAGAGCTTTCTTGGGTTAACAGGGTCTTGTGGTCATAGTTCAAGTACTGAGTATTTAAAAATGATACTCATCCCTAAAATTTTATAAACATATTTTTGTTTTGAAAAATTAAGAGCTTTCTTTGCTAATAAATTTTGTCTGTTGGCAAATTGCAACCCTCTTCCTTATACTATTGCCAGTTTCATCTTTAAAACTGACTGCTTCGTGCAGTTCTATCAACAATCAGGCAGCATATTTGCTTATTCTCATTAATGATTCCAGGACCTTCTAGTGGGTAGGATTGCCAATCCTTTATTTTGTTGTATTTTCCCCCACTTTAGAAATATGCAGTGTTTGCTACAGAAATCAATCCTCTTGTTAACAGATCCCTGATTGAAGTTTACAAAAAGATGTAGGGAGAGGATCCTTTTCCGTGTAGGCAGTGATTGGGTTATACCTTTCTGCTTTTTATTCCCATGAAGATATACTTTGTTCTAACCACAGATAGACCCTAGAACACCAATAAGGACCATCCAGCCTTACACAGATGTGAAAACCCAGTGGGCTGTTCTGGTGAGCCCAACCTTTTTGAAGGCTATATTTGTTCATTCAGTCAATGAGTACTTATTGACTGCTAAGCAGAAGGCTGGCAGTTCAAACCTACCAGCCACTCTTTGGAACGAATATTGGGCAATCTACTTCCCTAGTGATACTGCCTCAGAAGCCCAAGAACGGGCTGCTATGAACTGGGACTGACTCAGTGGCAGTGAGTTTGGTTCTTTTATTGTATACCATTATATTGTATTATATTTGTACCCATTCCAAAGAAGGGTGATCCCAAAGAATGTGGAAATTACCAAACAATATCATTAATATTACACACAAATAAAATTTTGCTGTGAAATGGTTGCAGTACTATATTGACAAGAAAGTTCCAGAAATTCAAGCTGGATTCAGAAGAGGATGTAGAACAAGGGATATAATTACTGATGTCAGTTGGATCTTGGTTGAAAGCAAAGAATACCTGAAAGATGTTTACCTGTGTTTTATTAACTATGCAAAAGCATTTGACTGTGTGGATCATAACAAATTATGGATAAGATTGAAGAATGAGAATTCCAGAACACTTAATTGTGCTCATGAGGCGCCTGTACATAGATCAAGAGGCTCTCATTCAAACAGAACAAGGGGATACTGCATGGTTAAAAATAAGGAAGGGTGTGCATCAGGGTTGTATCTTTTCACTATACTTATTCAATCTGTATGCTGAGCAAATAATCTGAAAAGCTGGACTATAAGAAGAAGAACACAGCATCAGAATTAGAGGAAGACTCATGAACAACTTGTGATATCCAAATGACACAACCTTGCTTGCTGAAAGTGAAAATGACTCGAAACATTTACTGGTGAAGATCAAAGACTACATACAGTCTTCAGTATGGGTTATACCTCAATTTGAAAAAAAAAAAAAAAAAAATCCCCACAAATGGACCAACATGCAGCATATTGGTAAGTGGAGAAGGGTTTGAATATGTCAAAGATTTCATTTTGTTTGGACCCATAATCAAAATCCATGGAAGCAGCAATCCAGAAATCAGATGTCATATTACACTGGGCAGATCTGCTGCAAAAGACTTCTTTAAAGTGCTGAGGAGCATTTGTTGTTGTTATGTGCCATCGAGTTGGACCTGACATAGCTACCCCTTCTTGGGTTTCCGAGGCAGTATTACTACAGAAGTAGATTGCTCAACCTTCCTTCTGAGGAGTGGCTGGTGGGTCTGAACTGCCAGGCTTCTAGTTAGTAGTCAAATGCTTTAGGCACTACACTACGAGAGCTCCCGCTGAAGAGCAGAGATGTCTCTTTAAAGACTGAGGTGCGCCTAACCCAAGCCATGGTGTTTTCAATCACCTCATATGCATGTGAAAGCTAGACAATGAATAAGGAAGACTGAAAAAATAGTTGACGCCTTTGAATTGTGGCATTGGCAAACAATATTGAAAACACCATAAACTGCCAGAAATGTGAGGAAATCTGTCCTAGAAGAAGTGCAGCTTAGACTGCTCCTTGGAAGTGAGAATGGCTGGACTTTGTCTCACCAGCTTTGGTCATGTTGTCAGAAGAGACCATTCCCTTGAGAAGGATATCATGCTTGGTAAAACAGAGGGTTAGTGAAGAAGGAGAAGATCCTCAGTGACATGGATTGACACAGTAGCTGCAATGATGAGAGGCTGGAGCAGGACTGGGCAGTGTTTCGTTCTGTAGTTCATGGGGTCTCTATGAGCCAAAGCCAACTCAACAGCACCTAACAACAATAGTGATATACCAGCCAGTATTCTAAGCTAAGGAGTCCTTCAGTAGCACAAAGGGTTATGCACTTGACTATTAATGAAAAGGTTGATGGTTTGAATCCACCCAGAAGTACCTCGGAAGAAAGGCCTGGTCATCTGAAACATCCAGCCTTGAAAACTCTACAGAAAACAGTTTTATTCTGAAATGCATGGGATCATCATGAATTGACTCAACAGCAATCAGTCTTACTCTGATCGGAAAGAATTTCCCTGGCTGGCACAGATGGTTTATGCCTGGCTACTAACATAAAGGTTGGCAGTTAGAGCCCACCCAGCCAAACCACAGAAGAAAGGTCTGACAATCTGCTACTCTAAAGAAAACCCTATGGAGCAGTTCTAGTTTGTACCACATGGAGTTACCATGAGTTTGAATTGACTAGATGGCAACAAGGGTTCTGTTTGTTTGCTTTTAGGTGAAGGCAGGGCTTACATTCTAACAAAGGAAAGTAAGATCCCAGTGTGCATCATGATGCAGATTCAGAGACATTGATGGATCCAGGGTGCACAGAGAGGAGGCTGCTTGGCCCAGATCCTTTAGCCCCAAGAAACTCATGCACTGGAAGTCCCTGGTGTGTGTTGTCCCTGGAAGGATAGGCTGGCCCTGAACATTTTGTCCCAGTCATCTGTCCATTTGATAGGATCATCATAGTGCATAGGAGGCCTACAAGTTATGATTCAAGGAATGGTAATCCATCCCCATCTTAGCTAATTGTCTGCCTTATCTTGACCTGAAACTTCAACCATCAGAATTCCTTTTTCTAGCCAAAGTATTAAAACCCTGCTTTGATGCAAACATTTTCCAGGAATTCTGTAGCATAAACCAATTACAAGGACGTGTGAGACTTTGGACTGATGACCAGCTCCCCTGGGAAGTAGGTTGAGGTGGGTGCAGAATGTAGGCACAGGGGCTTAGGGTAGCCAGCAGCCTTGGCCACTTGGCAGTTTTCTGTCATTCCTACATCAGGAAACATGTGAGTTAATGATAACTAACATTGTGGAATGTTTGATAAGGCCAGACATTGCGATGTGCTGTTAGGACGTTAGAACAGTTATTATTCTGCTTAAACCCCACAACAACACTGCCAGTTGACTGTTGTTAATCATTCCTATTTTACAGATGGGGAAACTGAGGCTTGATTATGTCACTTGCCTAAAATCTTATTTCTGTTAATGAATACAGCTAGGACTTAAATCCAGGGAGTTTGTTTGATCCCACTAACCATACTTTTAACCATTAATGTTAACTATTAACAGCCATACTGTAACTATTAACCAAAAAAAAAAAAAAAAAAATATGGAGAGTCTGTTCTCTTCTTCTCTTTTTGTATTTCTCATCATTTTTCTTCCTCAGATAAGGGATTTACCTGTTTTGGTGAGTAGCAATTGAGGTCTTGAAAGCTTGTGAGTGCCCATCTAAAGAGCAACTATTGATCTCTCCCATCCGGAGCAAAGAAGAGTGAAAAAAATCAAAGACACAGAAAACAATCAGTCCAAAGGACTAATGGCATATGTGAATACAAGCCTCCATGACCCTGAAAGCAGAACTAGATGGTATCCAGCTATGACTGCTGGCAGCTCTGAAAGGGATCACAAAAAGAGGTCCCAGATAGAGGGGGTGAAAATGTGGAACAAAACACAAAATCATGAACAGACCAGACTTACTGCTCTGATGAAGACTGGTGTAATCCATGAGGCTATGGCCCTTGGACACTCTTCAAACTAGAAGCTGAACTTGACCCCCGGGACTCAACTGGGAGCCAAAAGATAGATAGGCCTATAAAGTGAAAAGTAAAATCAGGAGAATATGCACTCATTAGAACACACAAACATAGGAGATCTAGAAGATAGCATTTGCCTAGGGATAGAGCTAGGAGGGCAGGAGGAGATGGGAAGGAAGAACAAGAGAAGGGGCAGATGCATGGAGGAAGTAGAAAGAATGCTGTTACAGCATGAGGATTGCAGCAAATGTCACAAAACAGAATGTGTATAGATTGTTGAATGGAAAATCGATTTGCTCTGTAAACTTTTCACCCAAATCTCAGTAATAAAAAGGAAACTAATATGTATAACATGAAAAAAAAATTAAGTTTCATGAAAGTGTTATGTACCTCACCAACTCCTAGACAATAGGGAATATTTCAAGTTCTAAAGCAGGGTTTCACAACTTTGGCATTATTGACATTTGGTACCATAGCTTATTTATTGTAGAGAGTTGTCCCGTGCCTTGTGATATGTTAGCAGCATCTTTGGCTTCTGCTCATGAGATGCCAGCAGCAGCCTGCTTATCCCTGGGTTGTGAAAGCCAAACATGTCTTTAGACATTGCAAAATGTTCTCTGTGTGTTTGGTGGGAGTAAGGAAGGAGAGCAAAATCACTCCCAGTTGAGAATCATGGGCCTGAAGAAATGGATATGTCCTGGGAGGGAAGGAGGGAGGAGGAAGAGATGAGACTGAACTTTCTCTCTGGGAGACCATCCTGAGATCCATAGGGTTGAATTCAGTAGAAGGTGGAATTGACCCAGAATACCCCCAATGAAATGAGGCTAGTGGGTGTAGGCTACAACATGTTTTCCCCAGTGCATGACTGAGATACAGCTCTTCTCCTTTTAGGAACTTAATCTCTTTGCCTTCAATAACCAGGTTCCTACAGTTCTTTTGTTACCCCTTCTTTCCTCCTTAATGCCAGACAATCATAAGCACTCAAAGAACAACTGGACCTGACCTCCTGACATATGAGAATGAAATGGTCGATAGATTAGCGATGTACACCATTCATCTTTTCCCAGTGGCTCTATGAATACTTGTTCTTTTTCACTGAAATAATAATGAACACATCCTGCAGGAGGGTGGGGAAAGGGTATGGCTCGTCCTATGACAGACCCAGAAATTGTTTAGAACTCTCAGGCTGTATGTTCTAATCTAACTCTCCAGCACAGGTCCAGCCAGCAAGTGCCGCCATTAGTGAGAGTCTAGAGTCAGGGCTGACTGATGCTGTTCTGCTGTTCCCCCAGACCATCATCCCAGCCATTTCCAATGCTGAGAGAAGTCAGAACTCACAGGGCTTCTCAAAACCTGGATCTTTCCACAGCCCAATTGACACACACAAAGTAGGAGACCATTTGGCACCAAAAATGGTGCCCACACAAACCATGAACTGAAAGTCAATCACAACCTAAGGCTCAGAGTTTATCTTAAAAGCCAGCACTGTGCCAGTCACTCCTGGCAAAGAGCAGCTCTTCTTGAGCTGAAGAAAATCAATTGTCTGATTAACAACTCTTTCAAAATGCTTGTTTTGAGTTAGACATAGCATGTTTTTATATTTATAAACCATAAATAGTATTTTCTTAGGTCCTAGGAGTCTTTCCTTTCTTTTGCCTGGATAGGGTAATAGTGAGGTCCTGGTGACAAGAAAAACGATGCCAGGGGGTACTTGTGGGTGTGTATGTCTGTGTGCATGTGTGTCCACTCCTGTATGCAATATTGTTAGGGTAATGGGGCTAGATAGACAACTGACATTCTCTCTTGCTAGATGGATAGAAACAGTTGCCTTTTCACGAATGAGAAAAAGTTGTCTGATGAGTTTTGAATATAGATCTCAGAAAGCACAGAATGGGTTTTATATATTTGAAAAGCCACACCCATCACTGATTGTTTCTATTTAACAGTTGAAATTAACTCTAATTTCCAATCAAGTCCTTTTCTTTTTTGACCAAATAATATAACTCAGCTTCCTGAGATCAAGAGCAAAATTAGCTCAAAATGAAACATGTGACAAAACACCATTTTTTTTTTTTTTTGGTGTCAATGAGATTCAATAATCAAGAAATTAATCAGAATAATCTTAATGAAATCCAAATTATTTCCTACATTTTTTAAAGCATGCTTTTCAGACCGTATTGAATGTGCATTTTTTCAGGAGGACTTTCTCAGACGTGGCCTTGCACACTTAGTATCTCTTTTCTCTGCTTTCAGAAAAGACATCTGTGCTGGTGTCAATCGCCCCTGTGAGACACTGGGTCTGTCCCACCTGTCGGGAATGTGCCAGCCTCACCAGAGCTGTAACATCAATGAAGATTCTGGACTCCCTCTGGCTTTCACAATTGCCCATGAGCTTGGACACAGGTAAAAGGCCAAGCAAACTGAAATCTCTTTCCCATACTCAGGAGGACCATCGTTAGACATAAGAGAAAGGATTTTGAACTGGGCATCAGGAGATTCAGATTACTTTGGGCTTGAATTCTTCCTCCTAGCACCTCTGCTTTGTTGTCTGTAAAATGGGAACAATAATATCACACTTCACCCCCTCCAATGTCTCTCCTGCTCTGATTACTTGTATCTATATACATCACAGAATCAGAGCCCACTACAGTTCTCTGGATTAGAATGGAGTGAGCAGAGACAGAGAGATAAGCTTTAACTCAGTTGTTTAATTCAAGTGTAGTACGACCTGTTTGGGAGCTCTGGTAGCGTAGTGACTAAAGGCACTTGACTGCTAACCAGAAGGCTGGCGGTTCAAACCCACCAGCCACTCCTTGGAAGGAAGGTTGGGCAATCTACTTCCATAGTGATACTGCCTCGGAAACCCAAGGAGAGGTCAATATGAGTTGGGTCTGACTCGACAGCACATAACAACAACATGACCTGTTTAGTTCTTACAAAATGATAATATTACTACTCCTAAAAAGTCATGAAAACTAGCCATTTAGCCAGATACTAGGCTAAACTCTTTGCATTGAAACAGGCTTATGAAGTAGATACTATTGTTAGCCCTGTTTTACTTACATGTATTAAAGAAGATTGAATAAAGAAAAAGTTAAAAACTGCTGTAAACTCAGAAAGACCATCAAGCAAACACCAGTTAACAGGATGTTCAAGTTGTTGCAAAAATGGGTGAATTTGATTAGATAAATTTGTAGAAGGCAGGCTTCAAAACACTTGAGTGAAGGAACAGTGAGTGGCTGGTAGGCTCAAACAGCTGACCTTTTGGTTAGCAGCTGAGTGCTTTAACCATTGTGTTACCAGAGCTCCTTATATATATACATAAAAAACCCAAACTCCCTGCTGTTGAGTCAGATCTGACTCATAGCAACCCCTCCTTGGGTTTCCAAGGCTGTATTTCTGTGGAAGTAGATTGTCCAATCTTCCTTCCAAGGAGTGTCTGGTGGGTTTGAACCACCAGCCTTCTGGTTAGCAGTCAAAAGCCTTAGGCACTATGCCACCAGAGCTGCCAGTATATATAAATATAGAGAGATTTACTTCAAGGAAGTGGCTTATATAAGTATGGAGGTTGGCAAGTCCCAAATCTATGGATCAGCAAGCAGGCTGGAGGTATCTCCTGCCTATGTGGTTGCAGGGCTGACAAAGTCCAAATCTTCAGGTCAGGTAGCAGGATGCAGGCTTCTTATCCCCAAGACCTGTCTGGAGGTCAGACAGGACAAATGCAGGATCAAGAGAGATTGAGCCTCGCCAGGAAAATTGTGGCCTACATAATGGATGTAGGCCACAGTCCCAAGGAAATTCCCCTTCCAAGTGATTGGCTGCTCACATAAGATCATAAAATGGAGGTTGATATGTTTGCCAAACCACTGAGGATCATGGTCTAGCCAAGTTGACACATAATATTAACCATCACAGAGCGCATCATACTAATTGGTGACTCAACAAAGAGCATCATACTAATTGGAAATTCAGAGTGAGGAGCCTGTACATGGTTGACCTGTACCCTTTGTCTGTCCTGAAGCCATGAGCCTGAATCTCCTATATCTAAAGAAGGAAGCACAATGCTGGGACATATGCTGAGAGCACAGCCAGAAAAGAACAGGACTCTGGAGGACCTGGAGAACAGAATTTTCCAGGCCTGGCCTTTCCAGCCTGGGCTTTGTCATCCTTTTTTTCATATAATATTTGATCTTTTCAAAATACTTTTACTTGCTCTACAAAACCAGAACATTGGTTTGGAAATTGAGAAAAATGAATGAGTATTCTGGCTTTTCTGTCAACAAATGTTATGACCTTAGCTAATTCCTTTCACCTTCGTTTGCTTCAGTTTTATCTTCTGTAAAATGAACTAGGAAACTCCTCAGATAAAGAGATTTATTAGATCCTCACAAAAAAGCCCTGTATGATAAAAGTGATCTGTTCAATTTTTAATTGTCAAAAATTCATGGACAGAGAGGTAAAGTGAGTTGCTCAAAATTAAATAATGACTGAGTAGTTGAACCAGCGGGCTTGGGACCATAGTC